GATCACCTCACTTTCCCCTACCAATCCACCCCCACAGTACCTGATATACCAATCCTAGCATTCCTACTATTATTTCCGTATTTTTCCGTATTTTTCCGATTTTTATCGCCCATCATTCTATCCCTATTCCTCTATGTATCTACCCTAGCTCCAGAGCCCATACCTAGCCCCATACATCCTCCCCATACCCTGCATCCAGCTATCCTAGCCCTACTGCACAATTACCCCCCATTTTCCTACCCTATCCTACCCCCTACCCCATCCCCTACCCATCCCCAAACCACCCCCTACCCCGGGGCCACACCCCATACCTACCCACCCATTTTTTCACCCATTTTTTGCCTATTTTTTCGCCCATTTTTCCAGCCAGAATACCCACCAGCACCACTGCTCTTTAATAAAGAGCCCTTATTAGCATGGGCCAGTAAGATGATGGGCTCTCTGTATAGAGTCCCAGTCTTACTATAGGGACTCTTTATAAACAGGCTACAGCTACGCCTGTGGACTGATCCGGATTGGGCTTCCGATCCAAATACGCGCCGGTCTCAGACCGGGTTCTTCCTGAAGCTTGCCAATGGCATCTTCTCCTGGACTAGCCATGCGCAGAAGACAATTGCTCACTCGTTGACTGAGGCTGAGTATATGGCATTGTCTGATTGCTGCAGACAAGTGGTGTGGGTCCGGAATCTGCTAGAGGAAATGGGCTATAACCTCAAAGCCATTCCTATTGCTGGCGACAATCAAGGCTCCATCTTCATGGCCTCAAATCCTGTCACTAGCAAGCACTCGAAACACATCGACATCCGGTATCATTATATCCGTGAAGTTGTCGAGCGTGGTCTTGTGCAAGTCAAATTCATAGACAGCAGTAAGAACCCTGCGGATCTCTTTACGAAGAATCTGCCCCGCGTAAAGTTCAAACCCTTCCGTTCTCAACTTGGGCTTGAGTTTTACTCGCCTTCTACCTCTGGGTCGTTTTCATAGGCACCTTTCCAATTACGCTTCGAGCTCACTTTATGTGCTGCTCAGCGAGGGGGAGTGTTGAATGGTGGCTATGTCCGCCAGTCCGGCTTGTATTCACATGACGTAACACTATGATTTCTTATTGTTCTTTCGTTCTCACGCGTCTAGCTGTATAGTATTACTTAAGGCTGTATGCTCTGCATGTACATAAACCCTTGGGCATTCGCCCTGTAATCCTAACTACTTTTCTCGCCTCTCCAACCACTGCGTACTACCAAGCCACTCAACCCAAGCCTTACTCCAGGTAAGTACTGAGAGCGGTATCACTACGTTAACCCTCCGCTGCTCAACATGCACGAACCTTGCATTGCCCGCTTCGCCGTCAAATCTAGCAAAGAAAAGAAGCAAAAGGAAGAGGTAGTATAAACGATGTACCTTCGTTCCTCAGGCATCGTAACATCTCTTAGCCCATGGGCCAAGCTTACATTGCACAAACTCATGGTGCGCCTCCCAATCAACAAAGCCATCCTTCAGAAGGATCTGGACTATGGTCAGGCCAAAGGAGGTTGTGGTGGATCAAAGAGCCTCTGTCGCCATGTCTGTTGATGCACTGCTCCCAAGGAACACGGTATGAGTGATGATCCTTGGTTTGAAGTCAACAAATGCGGCAAGTAGCTTAGTCAGGATAGAGCCAGGTTCTTCTGGATTGGAAAGGAAAGGAAAATAGGAGTTGTACATCTCCGCGCCGATATGAGAGTCATCGATAACCAAGGGGAATTCATTCTCAAATGCTGACCATTTGGATACGATATAGCACCACGTGGTATGAATGACACTTTCAAGTGCGCTAACAGTAGCCCACATGAGTAGCAAGAAGAAATGTACGAAGACATTATATGAAGGACAGGAGAGATCGACACTCTGGAAGTATCGGGACTGAGCGATTTTGAATGTGGCCCACTCAGTGTGCCAGTCCTTCAAAGACACGTCACTTGGTCCCTTGTCGTAGAATGACCCCATGATGAACAGTGGACTACAGAACATGGTTAACCAGACATGTCTAAAACAAAGTCAGTTCTTTGTTAACTGGGTGGGATCACCAGTGCCTGAGATATCACAGAATTCCGCTATAGAGGGCAAGACCTAGGTCACTCATACGTGAAGATCCTGGGAGCCATAGGAGGCAGTATGGTCGGGAAATTTGGTTTCTGAGAACGTAAAGTTCAGACCACCGGATTTTGCAGTGCCTTGGAGACCTGTCCGTGTCTTGCCTCTGCCCAAGGTGGCCCTCATGACTCTGGAGGAGTATCAGTGACTGATGAATAACAAATGCAGGTGCCACCTACGTGTTTTGATGCAGGACAATGAGCGGTCGACTTGTGCAGAGAGCCCTTTTGAGGGCGATTGAAGGTCATCAAGCAAAGTGTCGACATCAACCTTGAGCCCGAACTGGAGGGATATTTGTTCGTGTTGGTCAAGGATGCTGAACATGGGTTGGAGTATGTCCCTTGCGGCCTCATCAAGCTGTGCCGTAATCACTGAGTGTGAAGTCAGAATGAAAGGTGCAATGCAAGTAAATGACGAAACCCACCTTTAAACAGGTTTTAGGCGGATGAGAAGCAGGGACAGGGAATACAAGGCGATTAGTTCTTTAATTCTTCTGCTATAACACAGCAGACATACCAGCAGTGATGATGCGGTCCTGCCATGTTTCTATACCAAGAAGTCAGTTCAAATGAATCAAGCAAAATATGGTCAGGACGTACGATGGTAAACAAGATGGTAGTAGTCTTCTGTGGTGGTTAGCATACGCACCAGGTTAGAAGCTGAAAGCCCGCAGCCAAACGAACACAGTAGAATCACTAGATCGTCATGTTCTTGAATCCAGCCGGACATAGCGGAGGAGGTCATCCTATAGTTCCACTCCATGGCCTCAAACTCTCATCTCCCTCCTCTTCAGCAATATTGTAGGTCTCGGTATAGAAATAGCCGCCTGTTTACCAGCTCTTGACATTCACATTGTACAGTCTGTTTCTGCTCTAGGCTTAGCTTGTCCCAGGGCACAGTATTTTCCGAGCAGGAAGTGGTGATGTGGTGGAGCTCGACTGAGCACACTCAAGAGTACGATGAAGAGTGTCGGTGGGGGTGGTGGGACTTGATTGGGCAGGCTCAGAAGTACGATGAAGAGTAGAGTGTATCATGCTAGGCTGAGGTTCATCTAAGGCTAAGGTTCATCGTTTAACTGAGCATGTTTTGCACTTCGTTTGACAAGGTAGGGTTTGTTGGAAGGATTGTATGATGAGAGAGGCGCTGATACAGCAGAGTTCGACTGGTGGGCTATGAAAGATAGGAGGAGCTTGCATGTAGATGGTTGAGACAGGGACATTTTTGAAGTGGGGCCCTTGTAAATTGGGAGAGAGTGCTCACCACTCTTCCGACCCCTGCCTGCAAATGCCCCAGTGTGGAAGTTGACAGAGAAGGGCCACAATGGTCATTGGGGTCACTGACGGGAAGATGTGCTGTGCTCAATGGGCCTGTCTGAAAGGGTGCATGTGATACTCACGGTATCAGTTGTTGGTCGGGCAGTCATTATAGAGTCAGGACCACATGGAGCAAGATCTGCCAGAAAAGACGCGACATGGGAGGACTCTGCAGCAGGCTTGCCAATGCTGCTGCAAGGATTGAGGCGAGCAGCCTCAGTGCTCGAGCCTACATTGGGGGGATCAGTGTCGCCAGATAATGGTTCGTTGTGCCAGCGTGATAACCTCTTTAGTCTATGAATAAGCATGGCTCAACAAAGGCCAAAGGGATGTGAAAGAACCGGTGTAGAGAAGAGTTGCAGAGAGGAGCAAGGGGTGGCTGCTAATGAGGGGCAAGAGAGAGAGACGAGGGGAGGTGAGTGAGATATAGTAGCACCAAGGCTAGCACAGATATTAATGAAAGAGCCACTCATTTTAGTGGTACGGCCTAGCCTCGTGTACAACATACCACGACTGAACGAAGTGTTTCGGTGAGGCCAGATCTTGAGCAGCATGGCTCATCAGGAGCCACGTTAAATGCCAACCTTCGATCTATAAACCTTGAAGCGATATTAAAGAGAGTTGACAGAGATCTATATAGTGGTGACGCAAGTAGATATATCAACAGGCGTAGCTGTACCGCCTTTATAAAGAGTGCCTGTAATAAGCATGGCACTCTTTACAAAGAGTGCAGTATCTTAATGGCCTGGGATAATAAGGGCTCTTCATTAAAGATCAATGCTGCTGGTGGGTATTCTGGCCGGAAAAATGGGTGAACAAATAGGCAAAAAATGCGTGGAAAAATAGGTGGATGGGTATGGGGTGGCCCCGGGGTAGCGGGGTGGTTTGGGAATGGGTAGGGGGTAGTGTAGGAAAATGGATGGTAATTGTGCGTTAGGGCTAGGATAGCTGTATGCAGGGTATGTGGCTAGGCATGGGCTCTGGGGCTAGGGCAGATAGATAGGTGAATAGGGAGAGAATGATGGAGGATAAAAATACGGAAAAATACAGAAATAGTAGCAGGAATGCTAGGATTGATATACTGGGTACTGTGAGGATGGATTGGTAGTGAAAATGAGGTGATCTGGGGGTGTTTTGGTAACTTGTGAGTTTTCTGATTCAGAGTGAAT